AGTGTGTGTGGGTGTGAGAGAGAGAGAGGGAGAGAGAGAGAGGGGGGAAGAGTGAAAGAGCAGGCTGCAGAGTGTGTGTGTGTGTGTGTGTGTGAGAGAGAGAGAGAGAGAGAGAGAGAGAGAGAGAGAGTCCTATATGCTAGACAAGTACTCTCTGTTCCTGCAACATAGCACAAAACTCGAGACAGGCGTATGCCAATATGGCGTCACCATCCTATTTTAGTTCAGGGGTATTTCAGCATATACTTCGTATACTGAAGCCACCTGCCACTGTGACTGGTCAGAAAATGCAGGGCCCAATGAGGGTATGTGGTGCTGAGAAAAAGAGTCGAACATGCCTGTCGATATGGACCAGGTTCACACCAGGTTCTTCATACTAATTTACTGAAGTCACGACGCCGTGCCACTCGAGTCAGAATTTTGATTGAATCTATTATGTTTTAAGGCCGATCGTTGTCGCCTGTAATTAAAAAAATGTCCATTAATCGGATCGTAATTTCACTGTTGCCCCTTCAGGTCCTGTGGTAATTAGTGCAGTGATCCTGATTGTCTCCGTCTTTGCTGTGAGACCGACCAAGAAGGATGCAATTGCCATTCATGGCGCGTGTAATTCCAAAAATATCCACTAATCGGATCTTAATTTCATCGGTGCCCCTTCAGTTCCCGTATTGATTAGTGCTGTTATCCTGATTGCCCCCGTGTTTGTTTTGAGGTCATCATTGCTCATCGCTGAGGAGGAGGAGGAGGAGGAGGAGGAGGATGCAATTGCCATTCATAGCGGCTTCATGCCTGGAATTCCGAAAATGTCCATTCGTCGGATCTTAATTTCACCGTTACCCCTTCCAGGTCCTGTATTGGCTAGTGCAATTATCCTGATTGCCCCCGTGTTTGTTTTGAGGTGGTCATTGCTCATCTTCAAGGAGGAGGATGCAATTGCCATTCATGGCCCCCTTGGCGCTTGGACTTCCTCAAAATTCCGTAAATGTCCGTTACTCGAATCTGAATTCCACCGTTGCCCCTCTAGGTTGTGTGTTGACTAGTGTAGAGTGACACCATGTAAGAGTGTGGCAGGTGAAGATGCTTGACAAGTTGCGTTCGTACGTTGTGCTTGGGGTCCACGTACGTTTTCTCTGGGGCCACAGGTGTTTGCTGAGGAGAGTAGTCTGGGAGAGGGTCTCTACTGCCAAGCTTAGAAAAGTTGTTTCCTCTCTCTCTCTCTCTCTCTCTCTCTCTCTCTCTCTCTTCTTTTTGGTGTGTTTTATCCCATGATTGGTGCCTGAAGATATGGCTTTAGGTACTGGTTTAGGTCAAGGATTAGTCGAAGGGTTAGGTTCGGGGCTAGAGTTGTGTTTGCTGAGGAGACTCTCTGTTGCCAATCTGAGACAAGTTGTTTTTCCTCCTCTCTCTCTCTCTCTCTCGCTCTCTCTCTCGCTCTCTTTTGGTGTGTTTTTATCCGGTGTTTGGTGTGTGAACGTATGACTAAGGTTCTGGTTTAGGTTTTAAGGATTAGGGTTTTGTTTGCTGAGGAGAGAGTGTGGGAGAGGGTCTCTGTTGCCGATCTGAGAAAAGTTGCCTCCTCCTCCCTCTCTCTCTCTCTCGTGTGCTGTGTTGTTTTATCTGGTGATTGGTGCCTACACGTATGGCTTTAGATTCTGGTTTAGGTTCGGGATTAGGTTAATGATTAGGGTTGGGATTAGGGTTGGTAGGGAGATCTCCGTTAGGAAGCAAAGGCCGCGGGCAGCGTGGAGAATGGATGATGTAAGGCGGGGACATCTACATTGAGAAAGTGCCAGGGGCAGTGGTGGGACTGATGTTACTAGTAGTGCAGCAGCTGCAGCGTTGTTGATAAAAAAAAAGAAAAAAAGAAAAAAAGTTACGTCAGGAAAAAGGAAAGTCTGTTACTAGGTAGTCTTTTTTTTTTTTTTTTTTTTTTTTTTTTTCAGAGTTACTAGGTAGTCTGGCATTGAAATCGGAAGTTGAATTTTTAGGGGAAAAAAAAGTCCGTGAAGCCTGTTAAGCATTAAGTTGAGTTTCTGGGGAAAAAAAAAAAACAAAAAAATGTTAAGCCTGTGAAGCATTGTGCGCGGTACAATAGAGAGAGGCCTAGTCGAGCATGAACGTTTTTCTATCGCGTTGGGAAATGTTCCATACATACGTATGTATACGTACACACGCCGACGGCAGATTCACACTCGCATTATCGTCAATGCATCTGACCGCAATTACGGGCGGACCAGGATGCATCTGACCGCGATCACGTCCAGAGCTCAGTCGAAAAATTGCTAGGGTGAGTATGCCGTGACACGCATAGAACAACGGTGTTTTTTTTTTTTTTTTTGCGTTTTGACAATGTGTAGGAACGAACGCAGCATCCAAATAAAGTCAAGTAAAAGAAACGGAACCACAACAGAGGGCCCGCAATATACAGATGCCATTCCACATCAGGAAGAGATGGCAGGCAAAAATGAAAGAGAAATAAGAAAAAGAATAAAAGAAAAAGAGAAAGAGAAAGTAAAATCTGTCATAAGAAGCCCGACGCTAGCTGCATCATCTGCAAGAGCAGAGAGCTAGCAACGCCGGAGGATATATTGTCACACTGTGAATCAGAGTAACAAGGAAAGGAAAAGAGCAAAAGAAGGAAAGGAAAAGAAGTGAAGGAAGGAAGGAAAGCCCCACTTGTTCATCACCTCTTACGTACAAGGCCAGCCACGTGGATGACAGGTTGAGCGGTGGCTGCCCGCATCCCAGTGTGTCACAAGGACCCACTTGCACGCAGCCAAAAGGCAAAGATTTAAAGAAAAGGAGGAGGAAACCAAACCTCACAGAGGCAAGAGAAAGAAAACGGTCAAAGAAAAAACTAAGGAAGAAAGCAAAATAAACTCAGGTCTGTATTTCAACAGTTCATGGGCGTGTACCAACTGAGCTGCGCGCATTGGTCCCAATAGTGGCAACTGACTTCTATTGTGAATCGAAAAAAAACTTATAAGATAGCAATAATGCAGAGGGCAAAAAAAAAAAAAAAAAAAAAAAAAGGAGAGGGGCTCGTTTGGCTGTAACGAGGGGTTCCTGTGGCGGGAATTAAGGGGGAACTACCCAGATTTCGGGGGCGTTTGTGAATTTCGAAAACACGGGTTCTGTCCTTCGGGACATCCGTTAAAATTGGAACGATACAGAGAAGATTAGCATGGGCCCTGCGCAAGGATGACACGCATAAATCGAGAAATGTTACAAACTAAAAAAACTCCCGGTATTGGCCGCCTCTGAAGAACAGCTTCCGTTGGTACACCCATGAACTCTTGGAATACAGACCAAGTTGGAATCCAAATGCAATCAGATAAACAAGAATAAAATAATTTGAATTACCGCGGGCGGTCAGTTCGATGAGGCCAGCGCCCCTCCAAAAAAAAATAAAAATAAAAAAAAAATCCCATGGCTGTCCTTGGGGAAATGCGTTATCATTTTGGAATGATATAGAGAAAGAGGATTAGCATGGCCCCTGCACAAGGAGGACACGCATAAGTCGAGAAATGTAAAAAATAAAAAAATAAAAAAATCCCATGCTTTTCGTAGCACTGCTGTCCAATCAGTTTATCTCCGAGTGCCGGATAGTTCCGCCCCCCCCCCCCAAAAAAAAAAAAGTGGTCCCGGGCCACTCTTAGCCTAGACTTCTTTTTTTTAATCCACCCGAGGGTCGGTAGCCTAAACCGTTTTTTTTTTTTTTTTTTTTTTTTCGTGGATTCACCCGAGGGTGGGTAGCCTAATAAACCGCGCGTGTTCATATTGTCCGAGACTATCCCCGTCCTTATAGAGGGAGATGCTATGCTAACCTTTTCCCTCTCGGCTCCACAAGCACGTACCACCCTTGTTCCGTTCTGTCAACCGCTGTGCATTTTTGGTCAACGGGTGTGCATTTTTTGGTTGACCAACAGTGTCGTCATGTGCCTGGTCACGTGCCCGAAAGCTAGGCGGAAGGATAATTTGATTATTAACACAACTTGGTACATGATATTTGTATTAATTTGAGAATATCCTCAAAGATAGAGCGCAGCGTGTAATCATATCATTTATACATGATTCTCCAATCATTTGCGTGCTTGAACGCAAACTAAGCAGTTTTGGCCACCACTTCGTGCCCAGCAATTCGGCGGAGATGTCCGAATTGCTGCACTAACGGACACGATTGAGACGTCCAACCACTGCTCTCCCAACATAAAGTGAAACTAGGAGCGCAGTGTTGCAGCCACAGCCCATAACAGTTTGTATGATGAGGAGAGAGATGAAGGTAATGTCAAGGGAGTCTCAATTTCATGTTATATGGAGAGTATCTGATAGCATTGTTGATGGTTGTTCCATTGGTGCATGTGTTTTTTTTTTTTTCATTTTGTCTGTCCTTGATTGGTGTGTGTGGTCGCCTTTTCTTTTGTCTGTGATCGCTTTTCTGAAAATATTTGACAGTGATGAACACGGATTTGCAAGCCCTCAGAGAATCATCGCTGCCGGTATGTTGACCGCTTCCTCTGCCCTCCTGCTCCTATCACATCCTTTGTTATTCGTCTGTTCTGTTTTAGAAAACGCTTCCGAACATATTCCTCTGTGTGTGTGTGTGTGTGTGTGTGTGTGTGTGTGCCCACCTTTCGGGCGTCCCCTTCCCCTTCCCCCTCCCCCTCCCCTTGCCTTCTTCCCACCCCCTCTTTTGGATTCATGGGGTGATAGCGAGGACTCTACATGTGTTTGGGTAGAGAGATGTCTTAAACCACTGCTACCTCCGAGCCTCATTTTGCCGAGGCGGAAAAGAACTGCGTGCCAAACTTTGAAGAAACACTAGTGCGACATTTCTTTCTTTTCTGGCTGCCGCCGCCGCCAGCCACTTTGGTCCGGCAGCACTGTTTAGCCTGAGAATGCGGTTTACGGTATTCTGGTGTTTCGAGTTTGCCTGTGAAAGGTAGTGGTGGTTGAAGTTAAATATGAGTTCCGACGTTCAAAATTAACAGAAAAACTTACAAGTTGAGACTGGCTCCTCCAAGGCTTTTCGATGAATTTCGTTTAGGGGCACAGAGTCTGGATGGATATCAGGAAATTGAAGTTTTTTTTTTTTTGGTTTAAGCGTCGTAGAAATGGAATAGCAGGAAGGGGTGGGTGAAGCATGGGGTTCTAAGGGTAGGGGACTTATGGGATGCAGAAGCTAGGGACTGGAAGAACGCTGCAAGAATGAGAGGGTGGCTGCGCTACTGCTACCAAACGCCGGAGGAACTGGACAGACTAATGGCGGGCCTCCCGTTGGCATGGTATGCTATTTTGAGGAAAGGCCCCCAATTGGAGGGAACGAGACTGGGTGGGGCTGACAGGGGAAATAGACCGCGTGGGTCGGGTTCACCTGGTGGGGCGAGAAGAGGGGCTGGTAGAACAGTATGCGCGGAAGAGAGGGAGGGAGGGTTGGCTAAAAGGGAGTAGACAGCTTTTTGAGTGGAGGAGGAGAAGGGAAGTCTACCGCATCATGGTGTTGGAGGAAGACGTGGGATGGAGGGCATACAGACCAAGGACCCCGATCGCTGACCTTCCCCCTAGACCCTGGGGAATGGATGTGGTGTCAGGGCAATGGGGCACAGCCCAACGGAGAGGGAGGCCACAAAAGGAAGTGCAGCTAGCCAACCTGAAGGCAAAATAGGCATATAGAATGCTTAAGGATCAAGAGAATGTCTATGGGATGTGGTGGAGGACAGGTGGCAGCGCCATCTAAATGTGGACAGGGGACTGCTCAGACGTATTAGATTGGTTCCAGGCACGCAAGCAGAGGCCGACAAAGGTTTGTTTGCTGCAGTGGCAAATAGCTCACCGCTGTTGACCCACTAACGACTGGTTGATTGACCACACCTAGCTCGAACAGCTGGGTCGTCCTCTACCATGGTGCAAAAAATGTACGAGTAGCTTCCCCCTGCGGAAGAGATCGGAGATGGTAGAGCACATCTTCATGCAGTGCCCATGGGCGGTGCTACTATGGAGATGGTGGGATAGAATCTGGCAGCAGATGTTTCCTGACTCTTACCATGGCCATGGGACTGGAGAGCTAACTCGTTGGGGCACTACCCGAACGCTTCAGAAAAGCATGTGCGGGGAACCTCTTCCACTTGGGTAGAAGATCTATGCTTTGGGTAATTTGGTGGAGGAGGTGTGTGTTGGAACTGGAGGGAGCCATGGTGGAGGGGAGATGGGGGAAGTCACAGACCAGTTCAAACAACTGGTGCAGGCTGCAATTGGTAGCCGTGGGCAGACGGCACGAGAAAGACTGGATAGTGGTCAAACAACTGGTGCAGGCTGCAACTGGTGCAGCCTGTAGTCCCGGTTCAGTCGGTTCTGCGAAGACCGGCTTGGTGGGAAAAAAGGAGGATGGATAGCAAGGGTATTGTGGTCAGAAGAGCACACCAGTGGAGGAGGACCCGCTGATGGACATGAAGCGGGACTACAGGCTGCACTTTCATGACCGGACGACCACTAACCCGGGGATTCCACTCAGACCCGCACAAGACTTTGAGGACCCCTTCCCTCCCCACCCGCTTTCAATAACGGAGACTCTGCAGGTAGGAGACTAATGGGGGGGGGGGGAGGGGGAACCGTTGGCCCCTCTAGGGGTGGGAGTGGGTGCTGTGCTAAGAGGTAAGCAGCATGTAACAGCATGTAACAGCATGTAAGAGCATGTAACAGCATGTAACAGCTTGTAACAGAAATAGGCAGAAGGGGGTTTCAACGGGGTCACACCGGAGTGTTGAGCTGCGTTGGGACGCTGGGCACCCAGAGCTTCAATTTTCCCTACGGGCGGTCAAAGCAGCAACAGCGACAGCATCATCTCAGCATTTCTCAGAACTCTCTCTTGATTTGAAGGGGGGGGGGGGGGCTTATTACCTTGGGCCTGGTGCCCCCTGCGTCCAGGGCGGTGGCCTTCCCCCTGGCTACCCCCACCTTGCTCAGTCAATCCCCTGGATCCCAGGGTAATCAATGCTGGCAAGGAAATGTCGTTTGCACAAATATATTGATTTTCAAAAGTTGAAAAATTCTGACGCTGGACCTTTTTTCCAGCAGGTGAAGCTCCCCACCAATAGATGGACCAGCCCGTCAGGCAAGCCTCAATCTCGGTGGTTCTCTTACCACCACCGGGATAGTGGCCTTGCACTGATAGGCGATAGTTGCCATTTTTCATTTCAGCAATTTCTACCGTTGTAACTCGTGTCGGTAATTTCTTTGACATGCGTGATCTCTCGCAAAATTCGGAGAAGATTTCACTGATAGTCTGATTGGAGATAGTTGCCGTTTTTCATTTCGGCAATTTCTACCGTTGTAACTCATGTCGGCAATTTCTTTGACATGCGTGATCTCTCATGTGTGTCTATGCGCTGTGGATATTGCTTCGTGATGCCGTCGACCGTTTTTTCATAACCGGTTTCTTTACATTGCAATGCCCGGCACAGTTCAGTCTGAGGTTTCTGCAGTTTTCCGAGTCTTTAGATGTGACCAGCCCCGGGTAGTTCATAATGATTTTATTGCGTACATCTAGGTCCATCTGGATTCGAACTTGGGTCTGTAATTCAACAGGTCATGGCTGTACCAACTGAGCTAGCCTAAGTATTGATCCTTGCTAGCCTAAGTATCGATCCTTGCTTGTCTGATTTCTAACGATTTCCATTTTACAGCTCCATTTCTTTGCATTGCAATGACCTGAGGTCCCTGCAGTTTTCTGACTATTGATCTTTGCTGGTCCCTCAACGACTTTTACTTCGCCATAGCCATGAGGGTACAGGTCACGGGTTCGATTCCTAGCGGGTTGATCTTGGACGTTGTGTGTGTTTGCAAGGGGAATGGTTGGCCCGATGTGACATTTGACCCAGGAGGTCTTCTCTAAACTCGGAGGCCGGATTGCGGGGTGTAGGGGCTATTGAACTGTTCGGATTTGTTAATGTTTGTCACAGTGGATGAACGAGAGTTGAGTGTGTGTACTGGTTCCCTTGTTCTTTTTTTTTATTTTTTTGAATTTGGACCATTTCTTGTGATTTATGCATGTCATCCTTGCACAGGGGCCACATTAATCTTCGTCTCTGTAGTGTTCCAATTTTATACGGACGTCCTGAAAGACTGCGAGGACCAGTTCTTGATCTGTGTACACTTCAGTTATTTATATGCACGTTGCCACTTCCCGCGTGCGCATCTTTTTCTTCTTCTTCTTTTTTTTTTTTTTTTGCATAGAAGGGGCCAGGCCTCAGGAGGGGCCCATAGTACTCTTCCACGGTGTAGTAGAGGGTGGAGGCCAGACCTGAGGAGGGGCCCATAGTACTCATCCATTGGGCACACTTTGCACATCACTTTTGCACATTTGTGATTTCGTCTGATTGTTGATATGCGTTTCCATGATCACTCTTTTGCTTTGTGCAATTTGTGTTGTTGACTCAGCGTTCACGACGTATTTTGCTTGGAGGAGGTCGGAGGATAGGCTTCAGCATGAGAGGCAGCACCCAGCTTGGACAGAAAGTGAGGGACAATTCAGACACAGACTAATTTGACTGGAATTCTGAACATTCATCTGGTCTGATGTGACATGCTATCAAGTCGGTTACTTTTCAAGAAAGTTTTTTATGCTGAGTTTGTCGCCCGTGTTGGGGAAGAAAAGAAGCATTCACCTTTGCGAGACGCTTTTTCAGTGATTGCCACGTGTCTCTGACATGTGGCTTCTAATAATGGGTCTCACTTGTCGTTTGGACGTACGATCTGTGTCAGACGGATGAGCTGGAGTGATTTGTCACTGAGGTTCTGAAGTGACACGTCTTCTTCTTTCTTCTTGTTCTCTTCCACCGCCACCTTCTTCTTCTTTCTGTGTCTTTATTCTTCTTCCTCTTCTTTCATCCTCTCTCCTTTCCTATTCTCCTCGTCTTTTTCTCCTCTTCTTCTCCTCCTCCTCTTCTTCTTCTCCTCTTCCTCTTTCGGCACCCACCCATCACACCAATCATTGTCATAATTGGTATCATCATCGAATATTGCATGCTGTCCCAAAGCTGCGCCCCCCGCCCCCAAGTCATGCAGTCGCCAAAACCATCAGACTCGTCATTGTCGTTGTCATCGTCATCATCATCATGGTCATTGTCATCGTCATCATCATTGTCATCATCATCATCATCATCATCATCATCATCGAAGATTGCATGCTGCCGAAAGCTGTGCACCCCTGGAATCCTGAGGTTGATAAAATCATGCAGGCTACTTTGCCACCTCGGCTGGGCCTTTTTTCCCCTTTCCGACCTTTCGTCTTCTTTTTTTTTTTTTTTTCCCTCCCTTGTGCTCTTCTTGTTTTCTTCTCTTGATTATAATGAAAAAGCAGTTTCCTGTTGGTGTTTCATAGTTCGCTATGAATCGGTTTGGCTACCTACCTGTGCAGGGCAGTCCATTCGACAGTCCCGGCTTAAGTCCCGAGACAAGTGAAAAAGAGGGGCCCCTTTCCAGGTCACCTGGTTTGACCCTGGTCTGACCGCCCAAGCAGCCGTTTCTTTTTTTTTTTTTCCTTTTAAGGAAAGCAGAGCCTTATTGCTCCGGCTCCATACCCGTTCCAGGGAGCATCAGCCCGATTCCTGTTCCACCGCAAAGGCGAAATACCAAATACAACGCTCTTCGACGCTTCTCCCGAGCAGCCTAGTTTATTGTTTACAACTTTACTTCAAATTATTAGATGTACTTCACATAGTATATATAATAATTATATGTTGTCCTCTTCTCCCTCCCTGCCTACGGTTTACCGGGCAGTTCTATTTGACGATATATGGGTTCAGCCTCGGTGAAACTCCGACGAAACAGTTTGTCACAGCCCCTCGTTTGTTGTCCTCTTCTCTCTCTCTCCCTACGGTTTATTGGGCAGCTCTGTTTGACTATATATGTGTGGTATTGTTGTGGATAGATGTAAAAAAATAATAATAGAATGCATACTATCGAATAAATGCGGCAATATGAAAACTTATCACCTGAAGCTTTTTTTTTTTTTTTAAMAAAAAAGTTGAAAAACCTTCACTCCCCTTCTATTCTGGGGGGCATCAGTCCGGTTGCTTATCACCGGCAAGCATGTTGTACACAAATGTAGTGGAGAGAGAAGAAGATAAGAAGAGGGGGTCAGCCCAGCCCTTGCGATCGTCTGAAGCTTTAGAAGTCTACAATCTTTTTTTTATTCTGTTTTTGAAATGAATAAATTAATAGAATGCATACTATAATGAATAAATTAATAGAATGCATATTATGGACTAAATGCAGCACTTTAAAAACTTATCACCCGAAGCTTTAGAAGTCTGGAAGTTTACTTTTTTTTTTTTTTCCCCTTCTCTGTTTTTGAAATTAGATACAATACAACATATGTTTGCAAGGTGCTGCCTGATTCTTAGTTGACGCCAGAGGTAGGCGAAAGCGTCAAAAAAGACCCATGCATGAGTGAGTTTTGTTGAAATATTCCCCGAGATTTGTACGGTGAAAGATCACAGAACATTTTGAAAGCTTTTCCTTTATTATTTTGTAAAGTTTTTAAAAGTTTTTTTCCTTCCGTTTGCTGTTGAAAGGGCCTTTTTCACCCAATGTAGGCCTCAGGCCTTGTAACTAAGCAACATGGGCCATGTAAAAGTAAAGCAGCCTAAAAAGGTATCTCGCCAGGGCTCAGAAACGTGAAAAGCAGGTCAAGAGTCCAAGTTCTTTACCAACGGGCACATCCTGAAGCAAAGGGCATTGTCAAAAGACTTACCTGTTCGCCAGCAGTTGTGTAGGTCATGAATAAGGTGTGTCTGTACGAGTAGCCATTGTGCCTGTTCGTGAACAGAGGAAAGGTTGTGTCTGTATGTACAAAGCTGGTGTCTGTTCG